CCCCAAAACCCCAAAACCCCAAAACCCCAAAACCCCAGAAGCTAAAGTTAAGTATAATAAAATAAAATGTTAGATAATTGATCGCAGTATTTGAGAAAGAAGCGGCGCCAGCTAAAAGATTTTACAAGTTACAAGCAAAGGGCTTGTTCATGTCGTTCAGCAGATAAAAATGGTTCTTCCAAGAGTAAATTTATACTAATTCTTAGGGGTAAAATCTGCAAAATATTCATGATTTAATGCCAAAAGTATATCTGTTGATAACTTGTAGAGGGTTCAAGAGATATTAGAGGAAGCTCAAGGCAAAATAAATCTCAGTATTCCAGGGTAAGGTTTGGATTGTCTTTTATTGTTATAAGCCCTACACTAGTACTGCACTATTTTTTTCAAATTTGCTGATTAATGCTACTTATTTATTCCATAGAAGAAATCTGCAGCTGGACTTGGAGATTCAGTTAGAGTTGAGGTTACCCATTCTGGCTTTGAAAAATACATTCATTTCCTGGACAAATTTAAGAAAAAGAAGTCAAAACATCCTAAAGTAGCTCGTAAACTTGGTGGGGTGAATCTCTCTCAGGAAGACATAAGAGCATTTCTAGTTCAAAATAAGTCCCGTTATAGCTCATTCGAAAAAGGGTTCAAAAGTGAGCTGAAAATATATAAGCCAAGTGCTAGGAGGAAAGTTAAGAAGACCCCTCGTAGCAAGGCTAGGAAGAATATTCCCATAAGCGGCCTCACATTTGACACCGTGAAGAGAGTAAGTGCTGTAAACCTGCTGAAAGTAGTTTAATTTATCATAACTGGTTTTTTCGAGAACAGTCTGTTTGTATTAAGAGTTTTACAATATAAATTTAGAAAGCAAGATCTCCCAGCAAGAAAACAAGCAAGAGAGTCAACAAGACACATGAACTCAATCAATCAGTGAGAAGCAAGAAGAAGAGGAAGAAGACTCCTATTTCTAAACAGCTTGCTAGTAACTACTCTGGTGTTATCTCTAGCTCGTGATATTGACAAACTTGCCAAGAAAATTATAAAAGAAAAGGAAAGGCTAAATATTCAGTCTAACAGCGGCAGTATGATGAGAGTTGAGAACTCGAATATTCGATTTGATACCAAATTAAGTAAGCTATACTAACACATCTGGATAAAGTCCAAACTTTGCTATTTTTGCCTTCTTAGTCTTTATAAATTGATCCTTTTTGATGACTATAATTATGCGGAATGAGTGCTAAAGGCAATTAATAAAAATATTTTTCATGAATCAGCACTAAAACCCATTGGAATAATGCCCCAATACTAAATCTGGGCGATTGACATAATCTGGCTGCTCAGGCTTCATAATCATAGGAGATAAATAAGAAGCCAAGAAAGCAAGTTCTTAACAAAATGGAGAAAGTGAAGGAAGGCAAATGGTCTCAGGGTGAAACAGAAAAACTTTTTAGTCTCCATAAGAAGTATAGGAATAATTATGGCCTGATAGCAAAAGAGATCCCTGGAAGAACTAAACAGCAGGTCAAAGACAAGATCAGGAATTTAAGGATAGCTCTTAAAAGGGAGGCTGAAAGAAGAGAAGAAAGGTAGGAGTTCAATCATTCTTGATGAGGTGGTTTTACCTTCTTATACAGAAAAGCTAGAGAGAATGGAGAGATTGACCCAATGCATCATTCTACATCGAGTTTGGAGGACCCTACGATGATGAAAGATGACTCAATTTACGATTATGTTCAGAGGATTAGTAGCAAAGACCAGTATAAAGACCTTATAGACAGGATTTCTTCTGGAGACTTTGATGAAAATGGAGGAAAAAGCATGTTCTCCTAACAAAAGACCCATAAGTTTCAATTAACTTCCCCTTTCCTGGGGTTTTGGGGTTTTGGGGTTTTGGGG